CCTTTAATAAGAAATACGCCATGACTAATTTAAAATGCAAAACCGTGTACTGGGGCGAGGTAATAATTCAGCATTGTATTTATATATTACTCGAATTTCTATCTAGTTTAATGTTCGTTTAGGTTAGGTTAGCTTAGGTTAGGTTAAGTTAGGTATTGTTTTATTGATTTTATATATATAAAATACTTGTCAAAACTAAACCATATCATTAAGTCTTTATTTCAGGTTAAGTGTGATTTTTTTTTATGTTTAGTATATAAGTGTACAGTATATCATGAATGTATACTATACTCTAATAATATACTGGTAAAAAGTATAACAAGTTGAATATATACAGTATGACGTGTCCAGCAGCTCCTTAACACTGGAGTATACTGTTGGTCGTGTTTTGTAACAGTCTATCAAATAAAGGAATGTTAATCTGCACGAACTCGCCGACTCCCATCTACTCACACACACACACACACACACACACACACACACTCCCTCTAACTTATTCACTCACTCACTAACACACTCACCCAAACACTAACTAATTCACTGATAATATATATTTTTACAAGGCTTGATTCTGCTATATGTGGTCTAGTCAGGGGTAGAGGTGGTGGTAGGGTGAGGAAAAGCGTTCAGCGTTCGTGAAGTTTTTGTGAGAATTTGGCTGTAAAAGTCGAGAGAATCAGCTGATTTTTGTTTACATTATGACGTCATTGTAATAATCCTACATGGTGCCTCGACTTATGCCTGTGATCCTTCTTCCTTCTCCTTGACGTCTTCCTCCTTATTCTTCCCTTCCTCCCCCTCTTCCTCTCTGCTGTCCCCCTTCTTTCTTCCCTTCCCTACTGCCCGTCTACCCTCTTCCCTTCCCCCCCCTCCCCCGTCCCTACCATTTGCTTCAGAAACGTTCTCACACAAAACGTTTCACAGTATCGAGCGAGGTGAGGTGGGTGGTAATCCCTCCCTCTCTTTTTCCTCCTCCCACTATCCTTACCTTCCTCCATCTCCCTCCCTTTATCCTTACCTCCCTATCCCCTTCCCTCCTTTCCCCTCTCTTCTTCCCTTCCTTCTCTCCCACTATCATTACCCCCCTCCCTCTCTTCTACCACTACCCTTACCTCCCACTCACCCCGACACCGCCTTACAAACACACGTTGCCAGGCTGTCTGTGTACACACCCAAGCGTCATTCTGCTTGAGGGCAAATTTCAACACGCTAATCCAATTTAAACACACACACACACACACACACACACACACACACACACAGTACATATACATACACAGAGGGCCGTAGTCGCCAGCCTTCATAAATAATCTATGGATAAGAATACTACCCCCTTGGCTCTATATAATCTTCGTAAACGATCAGACACGCTAAGTTTACCCGTTGATTAAATAACTAACTAACTAAATAAATAAGTAAATAAGTAAATCAATATATAACAAAATGCGTATCATTTATTTTGTGCGCAATATAAACCGTTTTTAATTTGTTTTACTGAAGAGTCGAGCGAACCGTCATCAGTGAAGAGATCAAAAACAGGCTCATGAAATATAAAGACGGGCAGATCTACTGGTGTCTGACGAGGGGGTGGGCGAGGAACAGGGTGGGAGTGGGGACAGCGGGGAGTGGTAGGGGAGAGGGATGAAGGGTGGGGGGGAGGAGGGAGGTAGGGGGAGGGTGAGGGGTGAGGGGATGAAGGTGGGGAGGGGATGGGTGGCAGGGAGGGATGAAGGTGGGGGAGCAGAGGGAAGTGGGGAGGTGGAGAGGAGAAGGTGGTGGGAGGGTAGGTGAGGGGATGAAGGTGGGGGAGGCAGAGGTATGGGGGAGGGGGGTGGAGGACAAGGTGGGGGGAGGGTAGAGGTATGGGGAGGGTAGGGGTGAGGGATGAAGGTGAGGGTAGAGGTATGGGGGGGGAGAGGGGTGAGGGATGAAGGTGGGGGGAGGGAGGGTAGGGGGGGAGGTAGGGGGAGGGATGAAGGTGGGGGAGTGGTAGGGTGAGGGATGAAGGTGGGGGAGTGGGAGTGGGAGGAAGAGGGATGCGAAGGTGGGAGGAGTATGGGGGAGGGTGGTGAGAGGGATGAAGGTGGGGGGAGTGGGTAGGGTGAGGTGAGGGATGAGGTGGGGGAGGGTGGGAGAGATGGGGGGAGGAGGGAGAGGGATGAAGGGGAGGGAGGTATGGGGGAGGGTAGGGAGAGGGATGAAGGTGTGGGGAGTGGGGGGAGAGGTAGGGGATGAAGGTGGGGAGGAGGGGATGAAGGTGGGGGGAGTGGTGTGAGGGGATGAAGGGGGGGAGTAGGGTGAGGGAGAAGGTGGGGGAGGTAGGGTGAGGATGAAGGTGGGGGGAGTGGTAGGGTGAGGGATGAAGGTGGGGAGTGGTAGGGTGGAGGGATGAAGGTGGGGGGAGTGGTGGAGGTATGGGGGGAGTGGTAGGGTGAGGGATGAAGGTGGGGGGAGTGGTAGGGAGAGGGATGAAGGTGGGGGGAGTGGTAGGGTGAAGTTAGAAGAAAAAATATACATACAGAACCCATCTAAATATCCCGTCAGTCCAAATTGTCTATTAACTGGTGCTGTGATCGTATCTAGTTAAGGGAGACGCATTGATATCTTAAATTTACGAAGCTAAACTTATTATTCGAGTCTGTGAACATGTAAGTAGACCTAATTAACAATAGATCCTCACTAGGGTACAAACTCACCTTCTAAGAATGGATACTAAGAGCGAATTATTCAAAAATTTAAAATCCTTGAAAAGTTGAAACAAAAAACGCCATCCCGCCATTGTAAACAAAATGCTATATAGTTCTTTTAGATTTTCCGTGAAGTGAAACATAAACAAAAGCACCTGACATGAAAATGATAAATTATTTAACTCCCATTTTACAATAAACGTAAAACAGAGAGAAATATTCAAACTACAATTTATCGCCTCCATGTCACGTGAAAATTAGACACCTCGGCTTATTTCACCTTACGATTAACCACCCTAACCAAACCTAACCACCAGGTAACGTTAAGGTGTTATATTATCAAGGGAAATATGCTGGGGGCTAATCTTCACGTGATGCTAAGCTTTCTAACATGATGAAATTCCTTATAAACTGGGATTTTTTTTTTTCAATATGTACTATTTCACATTTTTAAGGCATTGTAGTGACCACATCAGTTATTTTTAGTTTCAATGCAAGATTAGTAAAGCAGTTTAAAAGCTCTAAGTGAGTATAATTCCTTGTTAAGTACTAAGCTATCCGTATCCATTTGCTCTAGTCAAGTTATTCCTTTTATGCTATCTGTAATTTGACAATGTTCAAGTTACTACCTGAACTCACATTAAAATTAAACGCCCTGAGCCCTACCTTCAGTACATTAATTTAAACCAGCCATTAAATGATTTTCACTAAAGCAACACTTAACACAATTTGTATCTTGATATATAACTTGATCTAGAATTAATTTATATCACCTCACCCCACGGCAAATTAACCAGCACTTATTAAACACTAAATATATATGAACCAATTCAATACTGTTTGATGATCCTGACACAGTGTATATAATTTTTACTGATGAATGATGTGTATTAATTTATAAGATAATTACTTTATCTATGGATTTACGATTCAATAATTCACGACAACTATTTATAGGCTGGTGTTTCACTGATGACAGATTATTAACCCAGACAGTACAAACATAACGATCCATTTGACTTTCATAAACATTTTAGTTCATGTAATTAGTTTCTGGAATTGAAAGACACACTTCAAAGAGTTCTGTGAAGGCAATGACATAGAGACTGTTTATATATGAGCGTAACAAAATACATTATCTGACTTTGGCAACCATTATGGCAGTGGCGTCAGATCTCATGGTTTATTTCGTCAGATTTTTACCACAAGTCGTTTGCCATTTTATCAACCATCACACGGTAGTTTTGACCTTCCACTACCCATATTGCAAGTAAAGTACATCATGTACCCACTGTATTTTTTGTCGTACGTTACAAAAAGCGAAATATAAAACCAGGTTACGTTATGGCGTCAAATCACCTTCCTGTACTGGGTAATGCAATATAATGTAATAAAGCATATACATGGGTTTGAATTATCGTTTAATATCACCAGGCAAAAATTAACATCAAGAGGTTAATACATATTTCCGAAAAGTCCAGTAAGCTTATGGTTTGAACTTTACTTATATATAATAATTTAAAAGCTCATCTAAGGGGATATACATTATACATATATCCGTGATGTATAATCTCTTTTAATATACTGTAAGCAAGGGGGTAAATGGCGGCTTCGTGTGGATTTCATTTCAGTGGGATTATTTTTAGCCAGTGTTTTACCAGTTGTCTCTCAAATGGTTCATTCTAAACTGTAAGCAAGGACCGCGTCTGTCTGCTCTTGTTATCCTGTGAGCCAAGGGTCAAAGAGCGCTTCGTGTGAATTGCATAATTCCATTGAGTCTGCGCGGTAGGTTACATAGCCCTATCACTACTTACCTAACCTAACGTTGCCTAACCTAACTTTAACTGTGCCTAATCTAACCTAACCCTGCCTAACCTAACCTGACTCTGCCTAACCTAACCTAACCTAACCAAAGCTCAGCAGAATATAGTACAAAGTCCCTTCCTATTTCCAAAACCATTCGCGCATATTTCGACTCCTAGAAAAAAATGAATCTCTATTTGCATCTGTAAATATAAAATAATTTAATCTATAACACGTGAGTCTGTCTAAGCTCTGCCCATGCCAACCAAGGTGTGGGCGTGTAAACATGTGACGTCACGCCTACACCCGCCCACACCACTTGACATGAAAATCAACTTATTCACTTTAAATTATTATACATTTACCTACTGATACCTGAATAGTTATATAATACATACACTAGAAGTTGCTATCCACCCACTCAAAGTTATTATACATCCACTCAAACTTTTTTTTACCTTTCAAACAACAAAACAGCTCGAACTAAACTCCTACAGGAACACCACCTACTAGTGGCAGACGACACTCCAGGAGAGGGCGAGGCTTGTCTCACCACACTGTAGGGAGGAGGAGGCTACAGGAGGCGGCTGCAGGAGGCGGCTACAGGAGGAGGCTACAGGAGGCGGCTACAGTTCTTCTCACCTGTTGTTGTTCACGGCGGCCATATGAACAGTTTGCTTGAGTCCATTTGTATTTCTTTTTAAGTTTATGAATTTGGTTTGTTTCTTTTTGTTTATATTGTCACAATGTCAATCATTTGTTTGGGAATACTATCCGGAAATAAGAAATAAACGTCAGTGTATAAGTATTTGTCCATTATTATCCAAAATAAAGTCTTTCTTAAAATTCTTTTCACTTCTGTACACAGTAACACTATCAGTATTCATCGTCATAGTTTCATTCATGTTCAACACTAAAAGGCTTTGACTAGGGTGGGAATCGGGATCAGTGTTGTCGACTGCTAGGCCTGCCGCCACAGTGTTGTCCACACGGCGGCTCAAGTCACACTGGCGGGAGCGGCAACAGTAGGCACAACAACGCGCCAGTTTGCCTTCTTTATATTCACGCCCCCTGCCTAGGTCACCTAGCCCCAAGTTATTGATTTTTTACTAAATAAAAAATCGTCCTCAAATCAACAGTAAACTAACTATTCATTCATTTATTATATTTGTTTTTTCTAAATTAGTTACTGATTGATTTATTTACTTAATTTTATACAAACTATCAGACATGAGAACTCTGTTTTATGAATGGTCATGTTTATGGTATGAAAACCTGTTCCCATATGTCCAAAACTAAAGTAAATATTGTTCTACGACACCAAGCTATGTATACTTATACATTACAAAAAATGACAAGGGTAGCTTATTTTGTTTGTACATGAATACCAATAATGAATTAGGTTAGGTTATAAAGAATTGACTTGGTTGTGAATTAATACACAAAAAAACAGTATACTATGTGTGTTATAAATACTTAGACTAATATATTATTCTCACAGATAAATGTACAACAGTTAGCAAAACATAAGCCCCGACAAGTGTCATCATGCACCCCCACCCTTAGCTCCTGTCTCACACACCACGCACACCTTCACTCACACACGCACACCTTCACTCACACACGCACACCTTCGCTCACACACGCACACCTTCGCTCACACACGCATGCCTTCACTCACACGCAAACCTTCACTCACACACGCACACCTTCACTCACACACGCATACCTTCACTCATACACGCATACCTTCACTCACACACGCAAACCTTCACTACACACACACATACCACTTCACTCACACACGCAAACTTCACTCACACACGCAAACCCACACACACATCACACACGCAAACCTTCACTCATACACGCATACCTTCACTTACAGACAAACAGACACACGCACACTACTCATACACGCACACCAAGCAATCATACACGCATACCACTCAGACACACACACACACACACACACACACACACACACACACACACACACACAGATAAAAACGAACACAAACATACAGAAAAAATGCAGTTACCAATCTCACTGACCCATCACATTACCTAATCACCTCAGGGAAACAACACAAGTGACGTGAATATATTAATTAGAGAAATGCATTAGAAACTGTACTGCTTAATATACTGTGTGAAAATAAGCCCTTGGCGTTGGAAATATTATATAGTCAATGTTAACTGATACTAAGTCATTAATACCTTCGCTGACTTGCGTATAATGTTACTGTGTTATTTAATATTTAATTAAATTTGTCAAGAAGTTCTGGAAATACTAGATCTGCTGAACCAATGTTTACTTGTTTGACGTTAGTAAACAGCAAAATGATATTGTTTACCTCTAACAAAATTTCTCTTAAAGAAAATTTAGGTCAAGATAATTGAGGGGGAACTTAAGTAAAAGAATATAGCTGTGTTTTACCATCAGGTGAGAGGCACTCTACTAGGGTTAACAACACTCTAGAGTGCATCTCACCTGATGGTAAAATGCACTCTCGAGTGAACAGTAACTATGTACAAATTACTCTAGGGTGTGTTTCACCTCAGGCACCGAGCACTCAAACCACCTAGAGTGGTTCGACAAGATTATGCAGGTCTGGTTTTTGTTATCAAGTCAGTAGTATCTCGGTTGTGGGTAAATTTAGAGAAAAATTTCATAGAAGAAAATCGTCTTATTTGTGTCCGAACATATTAGTAAGTAATTCAAAATTCGCCATTTCTCTCCACCGCATTTCAACTCCCGATATCTCGGTTATGGGTGAAATATACCAAAAATGTCATAGATGAAAATCGTCTTGTTTTTCTCTGAAATTATAATAAGAATCATAAAAAAAATTATATCCATTTATGTTCTCTACTGAAGTTCCATCGGTCCATACATGTTGTTCACAAACATTAGTCATATGGAACCAGTCTCGAGTAGGCTGGTACCTGTTGTTAATATTTTTGGACAACAGGTATTGAGCAACGGCCTCTAATTGGTGGATTTATCGACTAAATTCGCTGGAAAATATACGGGTGTAGTTTTTATATTTATTTATTTATTTGTTTAAGTAGAACGGATTTATATATATATATATATATATATATATATATATATATATATATATATATATATATATATATATATATATATATATAATCGACGAATATTAAAGTAAATGACATTCTCTTGTTAGCAAGTGGAATATTAATATGATCTGATTATTTATATTAATAAGAATACTTTTTTATATTAATCCATATTGTTTTTATTACAAGAATTTATTTGTTGCGTTACTTACGGCCCTATGGGAGGTTTAGTTGAGTAATGCATACCTGTTGTCTCAGTAAATGTTAACAACGGGAACCAGAATCGCTGTGAGGTGTGTTGGGTCGGTTAGAGGAATATTTTGGTGGTAAAACTCCAACAAATATTAACCTAATCTAACCTGAACCTAGTAATCTTAACGTAACCTTAACCTGACCTTACTCTAACCTAATCTAACCTAACTTAACCCAACCAAACCTAACCTTAATCTGACGACTTGAACCTAACCTAACGAATTATACAGTTACTTCATGGTTAAATATTATTATGGCCAAGGTCTGTGATTAATATTAAAGAAATCACCTGAAGATTAGCCACCCCAGCTTATTTCACCTGATGATTAGCCACCCCAGCTTTTAGTAACACAGCTTATCAGTCTATGAGTAACAACGTAACCTTTATGACGGTCAGTATGATCATCCTTGAGAAGACAAGAGACGAATGAGACGAGGCTTTGTTTTGTATTTGACGACATTAATTGTTTGTTTAATCTTATATTTGTATATTTACCATTAACGACGAGGAGTTATGTATAGTAATCCCGGTGTTTGATTATGTGTGTGTGTTTACATATATGTATTATATTTATACATATATATATATATATATATATATATATATATATATATATATATATATATATATATATATATATATATATATATATTCATAGTATTCATGTATAGATTGAATTTGTGATGTGTAATTATTTTTTATTAGAGGTTTCGTGCACACCGTTGGCTATTTCTCTATAACGACTTTTCTACACACACACACACACACACACACACTCACACACACACACACACACACACACACACACACACTCACACACACACACACACCCACACACACACACACACACACACTCACACACACACACACACACACACACACACACACACTCACACACACACACACACACACTCACACACACACACACACACACACTCACACACACACACACACACACACACACACACACACACACACACACACACACACACACACACACACACACACACACACACACACACACACACAGTAAGATTAATATCCTTATCTATACAGCTCACGCCTATCACCTGCAGACACTACATCACATAACCGGACCCATTCTCCCTAAACCGTAAACTTAAGGGCAAACTTATCAATGGGCTACAGTGATTGTGTTTACCTACGAATTTTTATCTTGTTAATATGTAAAAGGATATTTGGAATAATTTATTGTTCAGAACACAATTAGACGATAGAGGGATTTTGTTGTTGCAGTATTTATGATTTTTTTATTATTAAGAACATGATATAATTATGGGTTTTTTGGGATTGACTGTACAGTAGATAAAAACAGGTTTGGATTCGGTTATCAGGATTTAAGGAGACTTTCTGGTGAGTAGATACGAGGCGTAAATAGATTCCAATGTTTTATATGAAAGAATAAAACATTGGAACCTACGTGCATAGTTCCTGCTGGGAGATCCAGTGACATACCCAGCAAGCGAGTCCCATGATCCCCCCCCAGTCAAAGGTGGGCTGATGGTGGGTGGCTCAGGAAGTGTACTGAGTCATCCTGGTGATAATACCGGTAGTGTTTTTCATCCGGTTGTGAACAACACGTATTTCCTCTCAAAAAAAATAAAAAAGAGATGATTATATAACCTAGAAAATTTTTTATGTAATGTTTTGAAAGTATATACATAACGATATCTACTGGTAATGGGTGTTTGTACGATATATAAACATCATATCCATATGTGTGTGTGTGTGTTTTAAAAGATTAGGTTAAGTTAAAACATAACTAAAAGTAAAAAGAAATTGCATCATATTTCCACTGCGACGCCTTATCTTACATTTTTGTTAAGAAACAAAACTAAAATAAAATTATGTTTGGAAAATATTCTTTACTTTAATTTTGTCTTCTAGTTAAAGAAAAATATCTCTATAATTGTGTTTGTTACCTTAGCTTAAGTCGATCTTGCAATGCATAGTGATTTTTTTTTTTTTGCATTTGAGTTACCAGATATTTTTATCATAAGAACCCTTAAGAACTCGGGTCCAACTTGAAAAAAAACAATGTTATTAAATTTATAAGTTAATGAGAGTAATAAGTGATAAGAGAGTACTATAATGGATTAGATAAATCAATTTTTCTTTCATGTTTTCTACCTATTACTTAAAGAGTGATGGTGCATATTTAGGAATTCCTGTTTATTTGGTACGAGGAAAGATTTGGTATATGTGTGTTATATTAATGCTTGATTACTGTATTAATTCTCGTCTGTTATGGTGTGTATTATATATTACGTATTATATTCAGTTAGATAATAATGTCTTAAGTATTATTATTAGTAGTAGTGTAGATAAGAAAGTGAATAGCTTCTGTAATAATTTCTTTCAATATTAATTGATTTATCAATGTAGTACAGGTTATGAGGATTATTTCACCTATCAGAAAGTTATGATAGATTCAAATTGCATCATTTTAGTTCGTATTTAATGTATTTAGGTGTTTTAATAGACGAAAAGGGTAAAGATATCCTGGTACGAGGATTTGAAGTTGGCGGGCGTGTGTGGAGAGCCTGAGGGGCCGAGGTGCATGGTGGGTAAGGTTAGTTGGTTACGGCCATATTAATGTGTGACTGTGGCGAAGGATGGCTTCTTATTTATTATTTTATACCTCTGTAAAGCCTCTCTGTTGATATCAAGCCACGTCCACACCCTGAGCTTTAGATGATGTGACAGGAAATGTGACAAGTAAGTGGTAACAGTAGTAAAATAAGGGAAGAGAGGCCCAACACGAGCCTTGGAGACTCGCCCCAAACACAAACATTTCAACTTTGTCGGTCACTTGGATTTAGCTGGGGTTTAATTTTCACGTTCCTGTTACCGGCATGACTGTGACACTTATAACCGATATGAGTGTTTTCTGAGGCAGGTTTAAGGCATGATGGTGAAGTGGTTTGGTTGTCAGGTGCGTTTATTAGCGAGTGTTGGGATGGATTTGACAGGTGCGAGGTGGTAGGGTGGGGAGGGGGGGGTGGCCAGCTCGAAGTATCTTATGACTAATCATTGTATTTTCTTGTTTATAATTCCTACAGGATGATTATAAACCCACACATGAGTTGAGGAATGACTAGAATGTGTAGTTACTCCTGATAGGGATGTGTGTGAGGGATCTGTCAGCCATAGGACGAGGAGGAGAGAGGGAAGTTTTATGTGTGGTAGTGGCAGTACCTTGATATGGGGTTGTCTCAGCTGGTCACACCTTTGTAAACTCTATGCCACACCTTTGTAAACTCTATGCCACACCTTTGTAAACTCTCTGCCACATCATTTATTTTTATTTTTAGTCACACCATTGAACACTGTGATGTATGTGTGTATGTCCTGAAACTTTGTACACTGACATACTTATACACTGACACTTATACACTGACACAATTATCTGTATTTTATATATGTATACTTCATTGTACCTTTCTACACTGTATTTCACTGTAATAAATTATACCACACCTTTTATATCACTCTACTGTATACTATGCCACTATTATCCACTATGCCACACTGTTATCCACTATGCCACACTATCATCCACTATGCCACACTATCATCCACTATGCCACACTATCATCCACTATGACTCACTATCATCCACTATGCCACACTATCATCCACTATGCCACACTATCATCCACTATGCCACAACATTATATTGTGCTATACATTTATACACTGTTAACTGTACATATTTGTATACTGTACATGCTATACACCTGTACATTGCTATACCTTTGTTACTTTAAATACATTTACCTTTGTATACTGTCATAATTTTGTACACTGTCACACCCTTGTATACTGAGTCACCTTTGTATTCTCTCTGCCTCACGTTTTACACTGTACCTGTAGGCAGTGGCATAGATGAAGGTATTTTATTGGCAAAATCTTAGTTTCGATCACCCCTGTATGTAGATATCGAAACCTAACCTATCCTAACCTATCCTAATAGCTCAGTAACATTTAAAGGGTAGAGGACTGTGGCTGCCAACCTTCAGATATAAGTATGACACTTTTGATTGCTTAATTGATGGATTGATTGATTGATTGATTGATATTTAAACAAGGTACCATAGAATCAATGAGTAGAGTTTCTGAATACAGTATACTTGCTATATTAAGTTGTGTTTAATATGTACAGTATTTGAGGTTAGGTTAGTGTTTATATATCATTGAAACCGTTTATAAGTGTGTTCAGTGTATGAGTGTTTTGTCATTGCTTTAAGATGGGTTGCCAGAGGAGTATAATTGACCTACACTCTGAGATAACTACTCACTTCACCCTCCTGACAACTGTACTGTACTATTGCTTTTCATTATACATTTAATGTGTTGTATGATGTATATTGATTAATGTTTGTATTCAGAAATGAGGAAAAAAATCAGAAATCCTTGAAAGTGCTGCTCAGTCACGAACATTTCTGATGCCGGAGTTTTATGATCTGTGTATCTGTGATGATGGGGGAGAAGATTTTTCAAGTAGCTGTATTATAATCTGTCATTGTAGAATTTAAAACAGGGGGGGTTAAAGACAAATAGCCTCCCCCCCCCCCCAGTTACTAAACACGAATATTTGTACATTGTATTGGAAGTGAATAATTGTTTTAAAATGTTGTTATCCCTGGGTAGAATTTCCTTGACCACCTACACTAAAACACAGCCCAAATCCATGGTGTTGAAGTTATACAGATGACAGGAGAGGAGAAACAGTATTAAAGATTAGAGTAATTAATTTTCCTTTATACACTGTGATTCATTCTTTCTCACTGTTGGTAATAAGGATAATATAAGCAGCCTTGAGTGAGCTGAAATGGGAATGGTGAGGTGGATGTGTAATGTGATACTGAAATTCAGAGCTAAGAGGGCAGCTGGGTACTGAGAATATTGGTGAAGTTCTGAGTAGATGTTGATATGGTTTGGGCATGTTGAGAGAATGGATGAGATAAATTGTGTCAAAAGATGTATGGGTCTAATTATGGAGGGGAGGAGAGGTAGTGGCAGGCCAAGAATGACAGAGAGAGATTGTAAGAAATGATAATAAGAGTTAAGAACCTGACAAAAGAAACTTGAAAAGACTACATATATAGCATAGAGAACTGCCGTCACATAATGCAGCTAACCCTTACTGACACAAGCTTGGAAAAGGGCAGTAAAATATTGTTAATGGCGATGATAATGATGACTGCTGTAAAAGATGCGTTCTGAGCACTCTGGTTCTCCCTACTGAAAATTATTCTTCTGGTATACTGCTGTTGTCTCACCCATCACGGCATCACCCATCACCAGCACATCCTTCCCCCCAAAAGTCACTCGATGCCTTGCTCCCCAACTCATCCCTACTCACTGTTGCTTCCTAGAGGTCCATCTCCACCTCCGCATCTAATATATCCATCACCCTGTTCTTGTCATCAACCATCCAACATTTATTTTTTTCCTTTTTTACTATAATTCTCTTACCACTTGTTCAATACCATCAGCAAACTCTGATCTTTCTTCCCAACAATTCTATTACTTCCATATCTCTTTATTTTTAATGGTCTTGTATTTATTCTCGGTGTTCAGTGGTCCAATATGTCGGTCTCAAGTATTTTATATCTGTTGCCTCTTGCTTGGTTAATCCTGTTACAACTAGAGTATGTCCTGCAGACCCATACAGTACTACAGGCTTAGATGTTCCGATACCCTGTACATAAACCCCATCTTTCTTTCTTTAAAATAACCCACTTGATAATTCTCTCTCGTCTCATGTTTCTCTATGTTCTCGTACCTATTTTATTTCTTTCATTTCCTCGGTTATTCTGTTATTCACTGTGTCATCATTTTATTCCATTCGTTGATCTATTCGCTAAAACCTCACCTCCTCCGTTCTATCTCCATTGAAATTAATCTTCGTATTCTATATTTTTATTATTGTTTATGTTTGTTATGATCTCTCACCCGCCACACACTTTTCCAAACTCATTTACTGTACCTGTCCTGTGCTGACGTGTGTGTATACGGTATTGTACGTACATGTCTCTTGAATCACCCTCCACAGCATTGTCATACGTAAAGGAACTCTGATCATTCTCCCATATGTAGCTACAGTACTCGATGTCATTATGAGTCGTGCTTAGGCCTCTCTTCCCTCTCCGTCTCTTCCTTTTAGGTGGTCTTTTAATACAATACCCCCTCCATGTACACTACAGTAAATATTCAACAATCATGGCAACATTGCACATCCTTCAGTTTATAAAAAAGAGAAAGATAAATAAATGAGTCAATAAAATACATAAATATGCCCTTTTTTTTTATGTTCGTGTACTTAGTTTGTGTTTATCCCCGACAGTGATGGAATCAATCACGGACAGTGACCGTCTACAGCGGCTCCGTGAACTTGAAGCTCAACTACGGGACCCTCGAGGCATCGTCAATGTCGACTCACTCTTGGTAAGAAACGAACCCCATAGCTTCCTGTTGTGGCTCTCTCTCGTAAGTCATATGGGTCACCTGAAGATTAGACACCCTACCCTGGCTTATTTCACCACATGATTAAATGCTCTAATGCTAACCTAATCTAATCAAATCTAATCCTTATCTCCCCTAACCCCCCAGGTAGCATTAAGTTGTCAGCAAAATCGTCTGGTGAATTAAGTTGGGGTGCCTAATCTTCATGTGATCTGACAGACATTAACCAGTCTTATTACATTTTCTCATAGTTCACATCCATTTTGCTCCATTACACTTAACAAATGTCAAGTACCGGTATATATAAAGGTACAGAATATATGGGGCAGGATTACAGAATATGGCACATGAGCATACAGCATACAGTTTACTTCTACAGAACATGACTTGTGATCAGAAATAACGGCATTATTATTAACCCGGATGTCTGAACCACGTTACCGCTAACCCTGACTTTTTTATGTTCTCAGGACGCAGTGCAGGCGATGGTCGCTGACTGCGATCATCAGGCCATCAGGAGAAATAAGAATGTCGATGCTTTCCTTAACAGATGTACGTTGTGTGTTATTAGTCTATATTACTTGCATGATGAATCTTCTTTCCAAAACATATACAGTAACTATTTCTATCATTGTCCTGTACTGTTATATTTCTAAAGTATTTGTTTTTTATTATGTCATGAAAAGAATCTCAAGGAATTGTTTAAAATATTTTCCATATTGAAATTTATACCTGCAGTATTTTATATTACCAGTAATCAAGGGAATTAATTGAAACATTTAAAAAGTGAATGACCCACAGTTTTATAATTTTTTGAATCTTAATACAATAGGTTTTAGTTTGTCATTTTGGAATCTGTGACATAGTGTTATAAGCAACTGGGAATATTCTTAATTTAGAAACATATTGGTATTTCTGTTGAATTTATATATGACTTAGTATCACAGGTATATATGGAATAACTAATAATGGGTGTGGGAAAGCCTGACAGTCATGTAAAATTAGAATGTTTTTTTTAGTCACCATAGCGGTAAAAAAATCGTTAAAGATGGAGTGATAGGTGTAGGAAGAGAGTACAGTATAGCCATGACATAGTAAAGGTATGGTGAGAACTAGAGGGGTGGGTGGGAGTTGGTAACACTGAGCTCTCCACCACCCCATGAGATGTGAGTTTCATCATGCAGCCAGACATTGCTGGAGGAATGTTACCGGCAGTGATGATGTACACAGAGCTGTTCTTTGTCATATCAACGCCCCAGATTATGCTTACCCATCCCAGGGGGCTGTGGGGGGGTACCAATGGTCAAACTACTGCTGGAGGTGATATATGTAAAGGCTGTAGGGGTTCTTTGCCTCAGTGCTCGTTAATGGTAGATACACAAGGGTGATATTTGTCATTATTTTCATTATTTTGTCGGATTTAAATTTTTTGGGAGATAGAAACTTGATCCATGAAATATTAGATTTGTGTTATAGATAATTTTAATTCAGAAAGAACCTCGTTAGTGGTATCAGAGTGTTGTATGTACCTCTTGTTAAATGTTGCAACGTCTACTTAGCACTTGTATTACTTAATCAATCATAGTATCGCTCTCAGGTCTTAGGGTTGGCAACTACAGCCCACCACTCCAAATGTAAATGGGTTATCTTTTAAGTACCTTCCCTTGGCCCTTTTACCATTTGTATGTCCCAGTATCTACCATTATCCCTTTATCTTCTAATACCAGAAATACCTATTTACTGTTCTACCTGTTGATTAATGTTAAAGCTGTGTTCCCCCAAAAAGTAAAAAACAATATCTGACAAGAAATACGCAATGCCAACCCCCAGAGCTTTTATATATATATACCAAACGACGAATCATAGCATCTGAATAATCATAAAAAATTCTCCTCCTTTCTCCCTCTGTACAGATCGGGAGTCCATATTGGATGTGGAGTTATTGCGAATGCGGGCGGAAGATTTCACAAATATCAAAGTCATCGGGAGAGGGGCATTTGGTGAAGTTCAGCTTGTTAGACATAGATTTACTAAAAAGGTAAGTCTCTTGAAGTTAGGGTCAATGTGTGAACTGTTTTGTCTTGTGTTTTATCTGTTAGGTGTCATTCATTGGGTAGTACATTATGTGAGTCTTCCTGTTATGTTTCTGTTTGAATAATTCATTACTACATTATGTGGGGTCTTATTTCTGTTGTTCTCCTGTTTGTATAATTAATTGCTACTACGTAATCTAGGTCTTTCTGTTATATAATTAATTTCCAATACATAATATGGCTTTATTTTCATCAGTATTCTCTCTCTCTCTCTCTTCAGGTCTATGCAATGAAACTATTAAGTAAATTTGAAATGATTAAAAGATCGGACTCCGCCTTTTTCTGGGAGGAGCGAGACATCATGGCCCACGCTAATTCGGAGTGGATCGTCCAACTACATTTTGCGTTCCAAGATTCTAAGTTCCTGTACATGGTGATGGATTACATGCCAGGTGAGGTGGTTGGGTTGGGTTGGGTTAGGTTAGGTGGTGGTGGATGGTATACTATAGTGGTTATCGAGTGGGTTAGTTTGATTCATTTAAGCTTTAACCAGTGGCTAAGGATTCTCTCCCTCCCTCCCTCCCTCCGTACTTTTGCCTTTATTATCAGTTAGAAAACAAACATCAGGGAGTCTTCTCAAATATATTCACACTAATTAGTTTACTTCTCTCTCTCTATATACAAGTATCTTTAACCTTTACTTCATAATTCTCCGAGTCCTAACGATCGTGTGACCTCTCTCTCCTTCTGCGTACAGGTGGTGATCTCGTTAACCTCATGTCCAATTATGACGTCCCCGAGAAATGGGCCAAGTTCTTTTGTGCAGAAGTTGTGTTGGCTCTTGATGCCATTCACTCCATGGGTTTCGTTCACAGGTGGGTAATGGTGTGTTTATTATGACTGAGGTACTGATTTTAAGGCTATTGTAAGGTTATATAATTGTGAGTAGTACGTTATTGATTTTAACCCTTTGAGGACGATGGATTAACCCTTTGAGGATGATGGTTAACCCTTTGAGGATGCTAGTTTTGTCCACTCATCTTCTAAGGGTTATGGTTATTGTAAGGTTATATAATGGTGGGCTCCTGTCATTGCAAACTGATAATTATTTCAGGGTTATGTAACTAGTACTGTAACCTTTATCATTGTCAGTGTCTTACAGCCATTGTATTGGTTCGCCATTAAATTAACTTCTGATGGTTCCTCACTTATTTTGGATATTGTCAATTTTAAAGCTTTATTTCTTATATGGCAGCCAATAGGATTTTAATATGAGAATTAGGATAAATCGATAAATCAACACTGCCTTATGTCTGATTCGTTGTTGTTCACGTCCCTCCCGGCAGAGATGTGAAGCCCGACAATATGCTCCTAGACAGTAGTGGTCACCTCAAGCTGGCTGACTTTGGTACTTGTATGAAGATGGATAAGGTGAGTTAACATAAGTAAAAGTCTATTATTGTAGACCAGAATTAACATTGATAAGTTTATAATTGAAGACCAAGTTAATATCAATAAGTTAATAATTGAAGATCAGATTTAACATTAATGAAAGGAAGACCAGACTTATCATCGACGCGAGTTTACTCTCATCGTAAACACGCTCGTTCTAGGACGGCTTGGTGAGATCTGACACGGCCGTAGGAACCCCCGACTACATCTCCCCGGAGGTCCTCAAGTCCCAGGGCGGGGAGGGGGTGTACGGCCGTGAGTGTGACTGGTGGTCGGTGGGCGTGTTCCTCTACGAGATGTTGGTAGGGGACACTCCCTTCTACGCGGACTCTCTGGTTGGCACCTACGGCAAGATCATGGACCATAAAAATTCCCTTAAGTTTCCCGAGGATATTGAGATCTCCACCGAAGCCAAGAGTCTTATATGTGGCTTCCTAACAGACAGGTGTGTGGGTGAGGCAGAGTGGGTTGTGTGTGCGGGTGTGGCAGTGAGTGGGTTGTGTGTGTGGGTGTGGCAGTGAGTGGGTTGTGTGTGTGGGTGTGGCAGTGAGTGGGTTGTGTGTGTGGGTGTGGCAGTGAGTGGGTTGTGTGTGCGGGTGTGGCAGTGAGTGTGGTTTGTGGCTCTGTGGGTGAGCCAGTGAGAGAGGATTGTAGGTGTGAGGGTGTGGCAGTGAGTGTTGTGGGTTGTGTGTGTGGGTGTAGCAGTGAGTGTTGTGGGTTGTGTGTGGGTGTAGCAGTGAGTGTTGTGGGTGTGTGTGCGGGTGTGGCAGTGAGTGTGGGTGTGGTAATGAGAGGATTGTAGGTGTGTGTGTGTGTGGGGCAGCAAAATTTTGGTTACATATGAGTGGAATTAAAACCCTTAGTTAATGGCTCTGTTTCAACTCCAATTGCTCATTATACTGTTAGATACAATACAGTGGTCCCTCGGTTAACGAACACAATTCGTTCCAGAGGGTCGTTCGTTAACCGAAAATTTCGTTAACCGAATCCATTGTTTCAATAGGATATTGGGTAATTGGTTTCAGCTCACCGAAAAGTACATACAAAGTAAAAAAAAAAATGCAGTAAAGTACACTTACTTTGAGGTGTGTATGTAGAAGGTTCCTGGTTGATGATGACGACGATGGGAATTAGAAGTGGGGGTGAAGAAGAAGGGAGAAGAGAAAGAAGTGGGGATGTAGGAGAAATCACCTTTCAGGGGTCCCATGCTTGATGCAGTCATTTCACCAATAAAATTTTAAGTTCACTAGGTGTAATTCAAGATTATTTTATTTAAATCAACACTGCACTGCGCTATGTATTATCAATATGTTAACTAAATTTTAAAATGACTACCGGTAATAATTTTAATTTAAAAAATGCAAAATATTAAGAGCACAACTTTCTTGATATTTACTCCACTGGAAATGAATGTTAATATAGAACAGATTACTGAATTGGCAGACTAGCCCATCAGCTGATCAGCTGATGCTCACAACAAAACGTGTTGTTTGTAAAGATTTCGTTAACCGAAGTTTCGTTAATCGAACCGTTCGTTAACCGAGGGACCACTGTACTTCTTTTCCCTACTTAATTTACATATTGGTATTTTTCATATTTTATGCATCAATGGATTACAGTGTTGACAATTATAGTACAGAGCTTGATGTAAAACGTGGATAATATAATCATCCGGCAACTCTTCCAGATTAACGCGGTTGGGTGGTAACGGTGTAGATGAAATTAAGCGACACAAATTTTTCGTCAATGACCAATGGACGTTTGACACTATTAGAGAATGTAAGTATTGTATTCCCAGTGTTTATGGTATGAGTATTGTAGGGCTGCTGGTAAATGGTATAAGATATCTTGAGGTAACTTTTTCCATAGACATCTTGAGGTAACTTTTTCCATGGACATCTTGGGGTAAGTTTTTCCATTGATATCTTGAGGTAACTTTTTCTGTAGCCATCTTGAGGTAACTTTTTCTGTAGACATCTTGGGGTAAGTTTTTCCATTGATATCTTGAGGTAACTTTTTCTGTAGACATCTTGAGGTAACTTTCTCCATGACTTTAACACTCTTGTGAATTTAATACAGCATATAGATATTTTGTCTTGTTTCACAGTGAAACCTCCATATAACGGACTTCTCTCTCCATATAGTCCGTTATATGGAGGTTTAACATTTAACGGACCCTTGATATAATGAACTTTACATGCCATATAGTCCATTAAATAGAGGTTTCACTGTACTAAACTCTTTATATTGTGTCTTATGATAGAAAATTCAAGCAGTAACTTTATCTTAAATATTTACACCAGGTACATAACTAACCAATTAACTCCCCCACGTGACAGGTGTACCGCCAGTAGTTCCGGACCTCACGAGCGATGATGACACCAGTAATTTTGACGAGGTGGAGAACGAGGACACACCAGAGGAGAGCTTCCCAAACCCTAAGGCCTTCGTGGGCAACCATCTCCCATTTGTTGGCTTCACGTACTCCAAGGACTACCGGTACTCACTCTCTCTCTGTGATGTAGTCAGTACTGTACACTGAAACCTCCTCCTCCTCCTCCTCATAACATATTACAGTATATAGGAGAGTATGTTACATTATATCTAGGTCTAGTGTTACCGAGACCTCCATATAACGGACTCCTACCTCCATACAGTAATCCGTTTAATATAGGGTTCACATCTACCGGACCCTCGATATAATGGACTTTCCTCTCCATATTGTCCGTTTAATAGAGGTTTCACCGAAGAATCTTAATTTGTTGGCTTAATAAAATCACACTCAGGAAGAAAGCATTTGAAGATCATAGAGTCTTAACATAGCAAATTAATAATGATAGAATGATATTAATACTTCAGAATATTTAGGAATAACGTGTAATATTTTCTCCCTGCAGGTTACTTAGCACGATAGACAAGCCGGACGGTAAAAGAAATTTGGTGAGTGTCCCATACATTCTCATGTCATTTGTTTAATAATACAGTATAATTAATCCCCTAAAATATTAAGTGTCTTTTAAAATTAATAAAACGGTATAATTAATCCCCCCAAATATTAAGTGTCACGAGTTTCTTGGTGTTTAAACGCCAGTCGCTAACTTGACGGTGACGTGGCTTATTGTACTTCAGGTCTATGTTGTTCTCCATAAGTTTGTATTTTAAATGTACACTACTGTACCATATATAGTAACTGTGATTTACCTCTGTCAGCATCCCTTCATATTTTGTGGCCATACGATTCATAAGACAGTACAGGGTCATTTTTTTTTGCCCGAGAACACTAAATTATTATTATCTTTTAAGCTGTGCGATAAACAGGAACTAAATAAATCAACATTAAGTTTGATCAATACGAAGATTATTTATAGCCTCTGCTATGATCAGATTCTGTTCTTGTTGTTTATTCCACGTTGTAAAGTATAGTACAGTAGTGATCGTTTTAGGGTCATCGGGTAATAGAATGACTCTGTATTAGTACTGAATGGGTAAATACCAACATTGAAAGGACTCTTAATAATGCTATTCGTTTGGTGTTGGTAAAGCTGTAGCTACTTCTTGATGGAACTGTATTTGTATAATGTATCTAACCATATCTTGCCAAAACTTAACCACATCTTGTCCAAACTTAACCACATCTTGTCCAAACTTAACCACATCTTGTCCAAACTTAACCACATCTTGCCCCAAACTTAACCACATCTTGCCCAAACTTAACCACATCTTGCCCCACACTTAATAACTACCACTCATAGGCCACCACCCACACCTTGAGACTAACAGAGATTGATGTAACAGCTGAGGAAGTACAGTATGTGTTCATAGTTGTACAAGACGGGTTAAGGAAAGTACAGTATGTGTGTGTGTGTGTGTGTGTGTGTGTGTGTGTGTGTGTGTGTGTGTGTGTGTGTGTGTGTGTGTGTGTGTGTGTGTGTGTGTGTGTGTGTGTGTGTGTGTGTGTGTGTGTGTGTGTGTGTGTGTGTATACCTGTTTGGCATTCATGTATACAGCTCTCCCACTCGCTTGCACCGTGAAACAAGACGTCTGGGGAGAAGAGGGAAGTTTGTGGGCCCTCTAGGATACATACACAAACAAAAAAGTAGAAATTATATAAATAGAAAAGGGTTGAGGGACAGAAGTAAGGAGAATACAGTAATTAAAGAAAATGGGAAAATCAGCTAAGATGAAGTGGAAAAGAGAGAATGTGTAGTTGATGAAAGATTGGAACAGTGCGAGTGTAAATAATAATAAGAAGCAGCAGCATTGAGGGCAGGCATAGTTGTTCCATTACCCTCCTCCCCTCCCCCCCCCCCCTTTATGGATAGTTCAGGTGATGCTGTACTTCCATTGGGGTGGGGGGGCATGGGACAATTATCACTAAATCCTTCCTCTACTTAGATTATTTTGTGGGGGAAAGTTCTTGTAATTTCTTCACTTTAACTTCAACATCTTCATAGTAATCAACCCCCCCCCTCCCCCTCATCCCCCCTCACCCCTTGGAAAAAAAACTTAGTATTATGTTAAGCAAAGGTAATTTAATTTTTTTGTTTACCATTTTCTTTGTTCAGCTTATCAATGATCATAGAGTAGTCTTGCTGTTGATGTGCTTTAAATTAATGCCACCTTGAAACCCATGCTTGTCATTGACTGTTTAGATGATAGAACCTAAACTGGGTGTGTAATAGGGAGCTGTTTAAAACCTCCTAGCCCATTGGTGTGACTCTAGCCCATTGGTGTGACTAGTATCGTTGTTGAGATCCGCGTTGGGCGTGACTTCTGTATAGGTTCACCAGATGAGTCGTGGCTATGGTCAGGATCCTTAAACACCAAGTAGATTTAATGGAGGATGTAGGAAGAACGACTGGGTGTTACTTGGCTAAAACTGTAGCACTGTTATTGATCAGTTGTGGAGATGGTGCATTGTTGATAGATAAATCCTTCAACCTGATGGATGGATGGATGGAGGGACAGAGGTCTTGTTGAGGAAATGGAATGCCATAATGGTACATACTTACTCCACCACTGAGAGAATGAATGTCAGTAAAAGAAAAGAAAGAATGATTATGTTCGCTAATGCCAGCTCCTCACATCATGCCAAGAATAAGCTCGTAAGAATGGGTGGGGAAAAATACTAAGATAGTTAGATTGTAAGCTGATAAGATATTTAGGATCTGAATGGGTATTAAATATAGCTTTTGAGAATGCATGAGGCCTAGCTGATTTGCATTGGCTGTTGCTTAGTATCAATAAACCAACGTTGCTGCTTTAGTTTGTGTGGGTATAATTTTATTAAAGAAAGGAGTGATAATAGGTGAGATAAAGATACCTATTAGTCTTCATTAATTATTGTGGCATTATTGATGTATTTCTTGAGTTCTGTCACAAATTACACATTGACGGTAAGTTCATACAAGGGTTATCATACACTGGTTTCACTTAGCGGTACAATACAAATATTTTATACAAACTCACACTGCACTTATAGTTAAAGCAAGGGAGACTGCTATTCTATATCTTAGTTTAACCCAGTTGATGAAAGATAACTGGACATATTTTGGGCAGACTTGGAGACAAGACAAAAATAATTAGTACAGTGTAACGAAATTAAACTCATAAAAAGCAATCTATGGCTTGAGTGACAGGTTAAAAAATAGTAAAATACCTAATAAATCTTGTTTTCAGCGTAGTAATACTGTACTTTAGCGCCAAGACAAAATGAGCGTGTGTGGGTGTGTGGCAGTGAGTAGTAGAAAGCTTACAGATAACAGCTTGGCACAGTAAATCAATTAACAGTGCATAATTATAGCCATTACTGATGTCCTAACTGGTGGATCACCTGGTAACTGTAGTGCTCTCCCCTACAGAACACATTGATATGGGATTTGTTGAAGGTACCGTATGCTAGATCGCCCACCGTTGTCCTCGAGTAGACGTGATTTTTATTGCATGTGATTTATTTTATTTTTTTATTTTGCATTTTAACGAAGCTTGTCATTTTCTTTCTTTACAGTTCTGATTTGAAGTTTGATTAGGTATACAATATCTATAAACTTGTGGATATGTTAGAAAGTTTTAGTGCCGGCTTGCAAATTATATAATATATTTTTTTAGTGCATTATTTTCTTTCGTCATTGCAGATTAAGTAGCCCCAACTGTCTCTGGGTATATTGCATGTTTATTTCTCTTAATAAAACAAATTATATATTCTCTTTTATATAACAATTACATTCATAAGATTTGATTATGAATTATAGCATGTTTGATCACACTTGTATTTAGTTATTTATTTCTTGGAATAACTTTGTGGGTGTTGTCTTAATTGTGTTGTTACTACTACTACTACTACTACATTGTTCCTCGAGCCCACGTGCTGAGGGTTTGGTATTGAAGATCAAGAATACTGCTGTGTGAAATTTAAGTGGTGTGTGGATTGTGTATGGTGGATAAGGATTGTGTGGTGGATAAAGAGTCTAGTTTGTATTCTGTGTATGCAAGTTGGGGATTTGGTCAAGTGTGTCTGGATGCTGCTATTTGTTGTCTTAAGTCATCCCCTTTTCATTTCCTACAAGTCACTCATCTTAGTTCCAACCTTTTCCTTGAAGGTTCTCTGTCTTATAATCCATCCCATAGGTTCTTGAGTCTGTGTTCAAGATATTGTATTCTGAGTATTCATTATTTTCTTTGCTTACATGTGCTCAAGATGCTGTCATTTACTCTCTTAACCTACATTCAAGACTTTATCCTCTGAAATCCCTGTCTTTATTGTCACATCCTTAAATATGACACTTACACCTCAGCCACTTCATTTAAGCTGATTGCCCACTTGGTCACCATGTATAGAAGTATTTATCCCTTGTATTGTGTGAAGCTGGGTGATGTAGTGTGGTGTATGAGCTGTCTGTCCTGTATGTCATTTGGAGTGGGAGAGAGAACAATAAGTGGGAGAGAGAACAATAATACTGCTTTAGGAGTGTGTGAAGTGAGCCCGAAGTACGTTAAGGCTGTTTTGTATAATTCTTCCAATTAGTTTGTTCAAGATACAAACTTCTTATGATTTTCTATTGACCCATAAGTATTATTTAACCACGTAAGATGCTTATTGCAAACACCCAACATACAATTTTAATCACAGGCAGTTTCTCTCCCACACCCTCACCCACGCACAGACCAACGACGGCACCGATGTGAGTAACCAGATTGCCGTCCTGAGCGCCGAGGTGGAGCACCAGAGGAGCCAGGCGGAGGAGTTGGACAGCAAGTACCGGGTAACGCTGAGTCAGTTGGACGTCCTCACGCGGAAGGACCTCGAGAGGCAGCAGGAGAGACGAGACCTGGATAGAAAGTTGGCTCTGTTACAACATGATGTGAAGGAAGCTCAGAGGAAGGTGAGATGAGCTACTCTCTATGAATTAACTTGATATTATCTTCACAAGCAAAATAAAACTCACAGCATTAAACATTAAAACCTCCATTTAAACGGACGTCAATCTAATAGGTATATGTAGTCCGTTATAAGGACATCTACTGGACCTTGACATAATGAACTGTACTCTCGCATATAGAAACTTAAATAGAGGTTTTGTTGTGTTCTGCTCTATGTGTTTTGATTTTATTGAATTATGACTAATGAAGGACACTATTTTTATTTATTTTATCTCTATCTATCTATCTATCTATTTATTTATCTATTTATTTATTTATGTTTTATCTATATCATGACAGGCGGACAATGAAGTGGAAAGCAGACGGAAACTCGACGGACTGTACCAGGAGGTGAAGAAGAAGCTGGAGGACGAGCAGAACAAGCGCACCCGGGACCTCTCCTCGGCAAAACACGCCGAGGATAAACTAAACTCGCTAGAAAAACAGGTTCGTGTGTCTGTACTGTACTGGTTGTCTGGTGTTGGTGGAGAGAATTAGAACTATTTTTACCTTTCAATTTTATTATGTTTTATTCTTGTTGTTGTGGAATTATTGTGATTATTGTACATACTGTAATTTTAGTGCATATTTATCTATTTTTTATACCTATTACATAAGAAAATAATTTGAAATGTTTTGTAAGTTATCGTAATCCTTCTCAAAATATCGTCAACAGCTCAAAGAAGTCCAGGAGAAGTTGAAGACGGAGACGGACGGCAACACCCGTCTCCGCAAACAAAACGCGGAGCTCAACGTGATAAACCAACGTAAAGACGCCTCGGTGACGGAGTACATGGAGAAGATCACGTCAGTCCAGTCAGTGAGGGACACCCTAGAGAGAGACCTGGTGAACCTACAGACACAGCTGGACCAGGAGCGATCGCATAAGAACCATCAGGCCGATCTCGTCTCACAAGCTGAAATCAAAATACAGGCGTTACAGTCCAAGGTGTGGGGTCAGGGTCGCTGGTGTATGGGGTCAGGGTCGATGGTATTGGGTCATTGTATTTTTCCATTCTTAAGTGAAGTATGTTCACACATTTTGGGATCAAAGTTGAAGATTGGGTTGGATTAGGTTGGGTTGGGTTGGGTTGGGTTGGGTTAGTTTAGGTTAAGCAGTTCACAAAAATATCCATTGTATTTTCCCCAACCATATGTATAGTTTATCCACTTATTTGTATTTATGTTAAGATTTGTAAAAAAAAAAAATATTATTTTTTAATTTTTGGGGGGAAAACAAATTCAGATCTTCATTTATTTACAACATATATAAATATTGAAAGACAAAGCATTTCTCTGGATGTTTTCTGATGGTTTAAATTTGGATATATTAATTAGCTTCTTATAGTACAGTGTAATTAAATTTATTATAATTATATTGTATACAATTTTACACTGTAGGATGGCAGTTTGGGAGAGTGATTATCATAGTCAGATGGTGGTTCAGTAATTACAGTAGAATTCAGATGGTCGTTCAGGAAGGAAACTAAAGCCTAATCACTCAATCCCATCCACAGCTTGATAGTGCTTTTGATAGAGAGTCCGTCGCTCGAAAAGAAGCCGAGAAGGTGTCCGAGCGTCTGGTACAGTTGGAGAAAGACAGAAACTCGCTCGAATTGGAGTTACGGGGAATGACGAGCCGTTACGAGCAGGAGGCAAGAGCTCTACGGGAGGCCAACAACGCTGCCCCGACACACAACCACCAGTCCAGTGCCCAGGCTCTTGCAGGTCAGGCTTGATTTCTTCTCTGCTTGTTAGGGCTGTCCTGTGGGGTATATTGTCTAGGGTTATGATGTGTTCCTTTCTCTCTGTCTGTCTGTCTTTCTTTCTCTCCCTCCCTCACAAATGTCTAGAGGATCAGTATTTACTTATTTACTTCTCGCTAGAATTATTTCACTTAAAACTTCTTCTATGACTTGTATTCAATGATAAAAATTTACAAACAAATTTAATCAGTATGTGACCCCCTAAAAGTTAAAATGTGTAAAATTGTTTCATCATTTAGTTAAAAAAGTGAAAATGTGCAAAGGTCATCCCTTATGTATTTTTGAGGTCAAGGAATAATGCAATATGTACTACTCTCCAAGTTCATGCCACTGACGTTATTCCTTTTCAATCCACAGCCTTGCAGGACCGTCTGAACGCAGAGAAGCAGAAACGTCAACAGGCAGAGGCGTCTAGTCAGGAGAAGGAGCGTCAGAACTCCATGCTGAGCGTTGACTACCGGCAGCTGCAGCAACAACTCCACAAGCTCGAGGGAGAGTACCGGCAGGAGTGCGAGAAGGTAAACACACACACACACACACACTCACAAATAGGCTCTTGACATTATGCTTAGTTGGATATTATATTTATCATTTGAACTTTGAAATAGAATGAGGATTTTTAAGCCATTTTCATCTTTTAGGTGGATAATCCTCTTGGTATATACTTGAATTATTGCACAACTAAATGGAATATTTATGTTTTGTAACCACTTTCAACCCCTTTAGGTCAAAGCTCTGCAGAAACAAGTGGAGACAGAGACGGAAAAGAGATCTGGTATTGCCTCGGATCTCCAAGCCCAGTCATCGGAGGTCGCACTCTTACGCACCAGAGAAAAGTTACTCATCCGTGACCTGGAAGAAGCTAAAGAGGCGCGGTCAAGCCTCGAGGAGGAGCTGCACAAACTCAAAACGCAGAAGTCGGTTGACGATGTGCAGATGAGGGAACTACAGGACACCCTCGAGGCGGAGCAGTACTTCTCTGTAAGATTCCTCCTCCTTGTTCTATGTTTGTATAAGAGGATATTAGGATATTACTTGTTTATTAGAAGCAGTAGTGTCAGGTGATAGTTGACAGCCAGAGGATAAAACATACCTGTAAAAGGTCTTTAGTTTTGTTAAGTGTTGGAGAGAGAAGTTATGCCAGAAATAAGAGGATTGAAAAAACAAATAGGAATTGAAAATATATTAAGAAAGGAGTCGTACCTTGAATATTTATGTATTAAAGACGTACAGTTTGATTGCTCCTGATGCAGGTTCTTAGGAAACATTAGGTTACTGCTCAAAGCCTTCTAATGTAGGGAGATGTGCAAGTAGGGGTTATATGCATCTACTCATTGACATCCATACGGACTTCTTGGATGGGAAGACCTGTGGCCATTGCAGGTTGGCATGACTAGAGTAGTAAACAGTATTTGGACTTATTTATTTTCAAGATTTATTTTGTGTGTGATAGGTATCCATATTACAAGAAGGTTGAGTTTGATGTATATGTTTTGGTTAAACTTTCAGACACTCTACAAGACTCAGGTACGGGAGCTTCGTGAAGAGGCAGAAGACAAGAGCCGACAGGTGATGGAGTTGGAGGAGGAGCGCACGAGCCTCACTCAACAGTTGCAGTTGGCTGTTGGACGAGCCGACTCCGAGGCTCTGGCCTGCTCCATCGCAGAGGAGACAGTAGCAGAGCTGGAGAAGGAGAAGACTGTGAAAGAATTAGAAATTCAGGATCTTCTTTCCAGACATACATCAGACATCACTGAGAAAGATTCTGTTCTTAATGCTGTGAGTTTAACCTCTGTTGTTTTTGTCAGTTATAGTAAGAAAAAAGAAGCAAACTACAGCAATACCTTTTTAGTTCTTTATGATTTTCCAATTAAAATTACTTTTTTAATACTACTGTACAGATCCTCGATATAACAACATTCTTTTTCATTTAGTCTGTTAAATAGAGCTTTCACTATAATTTAATACACCTTTAGTCACATATATAAAAATCTTTGTTATACGGAGTCATATATTTCACAGATAATGGAACGAGAACAGGAGCTGAATCGGTCAGTGGAGAGCCTCAAGCAAGACAAGGAGGCGCTTAATGCTCAGGTCCAGCGTCTTGAGGAAGGTTGGTCTGGGGAGAAGTTTTTGTCTGTCGGTGTTGCTCTTAAGCACAACACTTCCTCCTGTTGACAACTGGATACACTTGACTGTTATAGCATCAGAGAGGAATTATGTGACTGACCACAAGTTTTATTCCTTCCAGAGTACAAGAAGACCACGTATGATCGTAAGGAGGAGCTGGACAAACTTAGTAAACAGCTGAAACAAGAACAGCTCCTGAAGATGCAGGCGGTCAACAAACTAGCGGAGATCATGGCCCGCAAGGAGAATCTCCCGGCCAGTCGTAAACCCAAGGCCTCGGCCAACGACCTGAGGAGAAAAGAGAAGGAGTGTAGGAAGTTACAGCAGGAGTTGACCATGGTGAGTCACTGAGGGAGGGTGAGGGTGTACTGTACCGCTGTAATATATCTCATGTGTATGTAATATAAGTACAGTCGCTTAAAAATAACTATCTTTACAAAATTGTGTTGAGAGGAAATATGCTGTAAAGGAGTAAATGATTTTGACAACTCTACTGAGACAACAGGAGTCTCAATGTTCATTCTGAAATTCATTAAAAGCATTAGGTCTTTTGAACTAACAACAATACTATACCATTTACTGTGGAACATTTTTTTCTTCATGATTATAAATATAATATACACGGTATAATATAGTATGGAAAAATAATAGTAATCTAGTAATGAATCGTAATGATGTGAAATTTTTAGCACATAAATAAAAAATTAGTATTGAATTTAATGTCTAGTTTTGGTGTTACATTTTCACATCATCCAACAGCATTTGTGACCGACTCCACGATTGATTTATGTTTTGTTTCTTACTTAATCCGTTTGCTTTATTTACCTCTGCAGGAACGTGACAAGTTCTCTCAAATGGTGTCCAAATATCAGAAGGAAGTCCAGGATCTTCAGGCGCTGTTGTACGAGGAGAGTCAGGCCAAGGTACGACTTCAGATGGAGGCCGACTCTAAGGACTCCGAGATTGAGTCCCTCACCTGCAAGCTGGCCAACATCAACAGTGAGACGGCTTCCCTCAGTAGTGGCGCTGACAACGACATCGATGAGTTGGGTCAGTATTTAGCTGGAGGGATACTGAACATTTTATATTAAGTGTGGCTTTTTGTTTTTTCTCTTCTCTCTCTCTCTCTCTCACACTCTCATTCACTCATCGTTACAGAATCCCGGCTGGAGGGTTGGCTGTCCATACCCAACAAACAGAATATAAAACGTCACGGCTGGCGGCGGCAGTACGTGGTGGTGTCGTCCAGGAAAATCATCTTCTACAACTCCGAGAACGATAAACAAAACTCGGATCCCATTCTCATCCTCGACCTAACGTACGTATGTCGAGGGAAGCCATTGCAGTTCTTCCCGTTCAGTGTAAATAAAAATAAGATGTCGAATTAAAAGCTTCATATGGATTTTTTTTTTCTGGTTTTTCATTATCATAAAAAAAAATATTAAAGAAGTATTGATAGCCAGTTACCTTGGGATATTTGCTTAGTAAGCTATGTAGAGTAACAGTGTAAAGAGGATCAATGTTAGGAAAGTTTATAGTAAACAGGGAATAGTTAATGGTAGTGTAATAGCAGAATTTTAAAATACTGTAGAAATGCAGTAATTGTGAAGTTTCTGTAATGACCATTTTTGTTTTGTTTTGCTTCCTCACAGAAAACTCTTTCATGTTCGGTCAGTAACACAAGGTGATGTTATTAGAGCGGAGGCACGAGACATCCCCAGAATATTCCAGGTTAGTGTCTCGATGTTTTCTGTGGTTAGGGACTGTTGTTGTGTGTGAGTGGGCATATGTATGTATGGCAGGTGCAGGTAGATGCTTGTTTATACACACTGCATTATGTGATATATATGTGACTTGTTGAATTAATTAAAGTCTTATAATCAGTAGCTGTTATTTTACTGGATTTTGTTTGATTTAATTACTGTACTGCTGAAGCTAACATGGATCATTTCAGTTGTTATACGCTGGTGAAGGGGAGAGTCGAAAGCCCGGCGATAACCCTGGTCCTCTGGCTCTCCTCGAGGGTGCAGGCCCGGACAAAGCAGGGACTCTAGTCCACAAAGGCCATGAATTTTTGGCTATTAGCTTCCACATGCCCACCAACTGTGAGGTCTGTCAGCGGCACCTGTGGCACATGTTCAAACCTCCACCGGCTCTTGAGTGTAGACGTAAGTCCGTTTATGCATTTTAGGTGGTTGTTTATTTATCATTTCAAATTCGCATCAACTACTTCGTATTTGCTAAGATCTCAGTCTGTTGTAAAGTCACTTTATCTTTATTTGAATTACAAGCTGCCAGTCCTAGCCATATGTCACTAGTAACAACCAGACTAGTGACATGATCAGGTGTTATTTCAGAGAGTTTAACACTAGAGGGAGGGAGATAATGGGTGCAGTGTGTGGGAGAGATCCTAGGTGTGGGTAATCATCTCTCTAGTGCCTGAGGGAACAAGGTATATAACTAATAAGCTTCCTCTTGTTTACAATTTACTTTTACTCACGATCAGTTTATCTGCACAGGGTGTCGTTTGAAGATCCACCGGGACCACCTGGAGCGCAAAGAGGAGTTGGTGGCTCCATGTAAAGTTAACTATGATTTGAATACAGCCAAGGAACTACTGCTTCTGGCTCCCACAGTTGAATGCCAGCAGGTGAGTCTCCCTCCTCTTATGGCAACAGTTGTCGGAGTCACTACCTAATGTTCACAAGTCAATTGAACACAAACCAACCCCCTTAACCTTACTTAACCTAACCAAACCAAACTGAAACTATCATAACCAAACCTAAAGAAAGTGAGAATTGATATTTGATTTTGTGCAAAACAATATTCCTTCATCTCTTTTACCGATTGATTATATAAAGTCACCCAAGGAGCTACAAACCGTTTCTATTTTTTGCAGAATTGGGTACTGCGGTTGTCGAAGAAGATTCAAAAGTCAGGGTACAAGGCCAACAATGCTGGTGGCCCTGACGGTGCCAAAGTCTCCCCTAGGTAAGTGCCGCAGGTAACAGTAAATTAAGTGTTCTGCAGCCTTGCCAAGCAGAGTATTTCCTTCATCAGGTATGGTAGGCTTATGTACCATTACCTCATAAGGCCTGTGAATGGGGAAGTTACATTTAAGTATACATAGATATAAATACAGTATACATCTATATAAATAGGAGCATACATATTTATATATATATAAATAGGAGCAAGAGTATTTTTTGTTAGCTTGGTTTGTTTTTATGCTTGCATTTAAAACACTCATAGTTTGGGTTCATGGAATAACACCATGGCATTGTTTTCCTTTCATTTATTATTCAAGTCATTACATTTTCTTTATTTACTGTCATAGTTTGCATTTATGCCTTTAGTCATTTTTTTTTTCCTTTTGGCCATTAGTGTACAGTATTTCTAGTGTATCTCTCATGCCGTTTCCCAGGAGTGCAATGGGGTGGTCCTTGTAGAGTCTGTTTTTAGGGATATTCTTCTCTTCGTGTTTCCTCCCTCCCTCCAGATGTAGTTCCCTGTCTTGTGTATCATTCATATCCCAGTTTTCTTGAGTCATTAAGTTCATCCATAGCCATTTTCCTCAGATATGGTTGTTGGTGGATGTCAGTGATGAAGTAGTGTGTGTAAGAGAGAGAGAGAGAGAGAGAGGATACTGACAAAAGTGAAGAAGAAGTGTACTGTATCTCCATTTAAACATATCAATACATCACTCTATTACCACCACCACTCAACCAGTTTCTCACCCATTACCAGTTGACTCTTCCCTATTCACCGACGCCATGACTTAGCAGGAGGAACATTCTTAACTTATTCATTTGTTTTACCTGTCATTCATCCATCCACCTGTCCTTAGTTGAAGATTATAAAGACCTAATATTGTCTGTATGATAGAAAGATCTTTGGGAGAGTATTTTGTAGAGTATATGTTGGTATATTTTGTTTGTTTATTTTCCTTCTGTCATGCTTCTTTGTTGTTAATTGTATATACCTGTATTATATTTCCATCCCAGAAAGAGCTTGGATGAATGCTGTATCTATGTCCCCCCCCCCTCCTCCTCCTCCCCTTCCATCAGCCTAATCTAATAAAACATCCTTTAAACTGCAAAAAAAAAAAAAGAAAAAAAAAAAGAAGCTGTTTGGCCTATTAATCAGCATGGTAAACGTTATATTAATGTTGTTGATTTGGTTGTGGATTTTGCAGAATGTAAAAGCCTTTAGGACTATGCAGCTTCAGACAACAAGTAAATGAGGGAGTATTTACACTTGAGTTTTGCCGCCAAGGTTTGCTTCTTTATTCTTTTTAGTGTTTCAGCACCACACGCACTACCATTGATATTTTCGCTTCCCTGCTTTTCAAACTTTATTTCAGCTATTAATAATTAACCCTTATGTCACACTAAACCAAAAACTGTGGTACTTGCATGATGACGGACAGACCCGACGATGTGTTATTACTGCAGCTTTGGTTTTATGGTGAAAGACTGGATGACATGTACGGTCTATCCCCTGTCTCTTCAAGATCATTCTTAAAACTGTATCTCTTGATTATACCACATAGCAGTGTATTACTCTATAGAAAAGAATTTATTTTTTATATGTTTGAATAGCAGAAATCCATTGACTGTTCACCATCATGACAGTATGATCTCTTTGTCTCACAGCTTGGCTAATAACACAGCTGCTGTACTGTATTTAGAAAATGTTTACAACTCAGTTTTCTGGGAGATTTAACCACTTGTGTATGGGATCCCCTCTGTGTTGAATAAAATTGTTCAGCATTAGCCGAATTAACTATTAAAAGTGGCATCCCCATAGTGAATGGTAACGTTAATAAGCATTTTATCTTGGTTAGACCAGCGTTTGTGGAAGAAGAGTTTCACACTTGACGATTATATCATTGAATCTTTAACTTGTCTGCACTTTAGTCACAACACTCACATCAATGCATGTTCTCACCTGACAGCACTCGTGTTTAATCTTGCTTTGCACCTTTCACAATCAACAATACCATTTTTCAAGCCTTACACACACAGGGCTGAACATGTATGCTCTCTGCCCATGTCTCAGTAAACTGCATCTAAAGAAATATCTTAAATCATTGTCAATCAATAACATATTAATATTAACCCCTTGTGTAGTTTCTCTCAGATTGTTGTTCTTTCATTGTTTTATGTAGATGAAGTAGGATTTTATTTTTAAGATTTTCCTGAATTTCTGTAGAGTATTTTAATGTAGTTTATGTGTAACTGATATGAGAAAGTACAGGAGGTATGAGTTTGGTTGATGGACGCACTTAAAGACCTAGTAATGAGCACAGTAATAACATCATGACATCAGCAAATTAACTCCCTTCCCCTAACATTATTTGATACAATACAGTGTAGAGTGCTAGATAGAAAACATATACTACAGGTTGTGATTTCCTTCTCTATCATCAGACAGAAATACAAAAGTCGTTATTTATATAGAGGGGAAGTAAGATTTGTGGATATGCAATCATTGGTAATCATAATTGTTATTGATGGATGTAAGAATTTGTTTGTGTCTCTTTTGTTACATAAACAAAGTAACTGTACACATTATTGACAGATTTTTTTTAAGACTTTGCAACACATGATTTGTTTATTGGTTTGTGGAGATCTCAGTGTATGAATATCAATCCCGGCTGATCAAAACAACTTTCCGACCTGTATAGCTATGCAGTTTTCACTCCATCTTGTGATTCCCAGTTTTATATCAGTCCTGTGTGTTACTTTAAATATTTACACTGGCTTATCACTTGCTTAAATGATGATAAATTTGTGTATTATAACTACAAGTCTTATTTTTTTAAGGGGGTGTAAGACCAAGTAATGTACAAGTGGTGTTAGTAACTCATTGACTGTTAGACTGATAACTGCCGATCACTGCTGGAATATCTAACAACCACTTCTGACTTTAGTATTTTTGATTGACTGAATTTAAGTACAGCATACAGGAACAGTGAAACCTCCTTATAATGGACTTCACCCTCCATATAATCCGTTAGTTGAGGGTTTCACATCATGGACCCTCGATATAATGGGCTTTCATCTCCATATTGTTTGTTATATGGAGGTTTAACATTTAATAGACCCTCGATATAATAGACTCTCCTCCTCTCTTCAACATGTAGTCCATTAATTAAAGGCTTTACTGAACTTAAGTATTTTTATCCTAAGTTCGTATGATGATATATTTTACAACACTTCAACATGAGGGATTTTACATTACTGTTTTAGTGATTGTAAATTTTTTTTGCTAAGTATGTTTGATTTTAGTAATAGATTTAAATTCCGTAATATTTTTAAGATTAGAATAAAGTTTAGAGTTCTAGTGTTGGGTATATTTTTATTTATTTATTTTATTTTTTTCAGAGAGTCAACCAGATCATCTTATCGTCCATTTGTTGTACAGAAGTCTGCCACTTTGCCCCCAAACTCCAATTTAAGTAGAAAATAGTGCAATCCTGAGGCTAATATATACCTGCTCTCCTACCATGAGGTCTATTAGCGACTCTCTTGTTTTTTGAAGATTGCCTTCGATGTAGAATCAAAGAGACATAACGGCTGTTTATGGGAATCATGGAGACTTCAATGGAAAAGCTTCTGAATCCCTCCATTGTCCTGAGAGTCAGCGTGTAGTGTAGCGTAAACCTCGACGTTGAGGATGAAAACGAGAGAGTGAAGTAGACAGTACTCTGACTAGCGAAGATATTAGTGTAAAGTATTGAGGACAAGTGCCTTATCAAGTCCTAGTTATGTACATTGTTTTAAAGATCCTGTTCGTATTTCTCCTTCAGGAACAATAAGACGAAAAAAAATAGTATGTCATGAAGAATTTTTTGGTACAAGAGAGCGTTATTTTGTATATGTTTCTAATAGTTTCTGTGTAACACTTAATGCTTCCAGTATAGATCCATAAGTTGTCCTCCAAGTGTGTCGTCCAGACTACTGCAAGCGAGTTAATGCAAAATAAAAAACAAAACAACCAAACTACTGCATTTGTGATGTGTGTGTGTGTGTGCGTGCGTGCGTGTGTGGTTCGTAAAGGTGTGTCGTCCCTCTGTAAGTACAGTCAACGTTTTCTGGGTAATTTATTCGAGGTGGTTTACGTTTCCGTGAAATCTGCGGGATGTTTTGACTTCCCAAGTTTTTTATATTGACATTTTAGGTTTTAAAGCCATTTTATATTGGAAGAATCTAAACGCACCTTGATGTTAAACTACTCTGGCTGAGCACATTCTGTAAATAGTGTATTGACATGCGTGAATGTGGTCTTGAGTGAGTGAATGGTAGTAATATTAAAGTCATAATCAGAAGTCAAGTTGAGTTGTGTTTGAGCAAGACCAGAATAATTTTTTTTTATATATTATATATATATATAGACAATTTGTATGAATAATTATAATATAATAACCTAGAAGTTCAAAATGCAAGTGATTCCATGATGTGAGTCTTGAAAGTTAGGTTGGATAGTTCAGATGGGACCTTACTGCTGAGTTAACTTCAGAGTACCGCTTGTTATATATACAGTATCACGCCACCCGTTGTAGCCGAGCTGTTCTCACACTTGTTGTTATCTAACGCCACCCGTCTCCATCCTCAAAGTTTCCTATTCCCAGTTCATTGTGATTTTCTATGTAACTTTTGATGAAATGTAGTAGGACTTGTGTGATACTTCCAGTTGCCATTCCTCCCAAACAGAGAGTCTCTACTGAACAGAAGCATGAGACAAGATTCACTGAATTAGCTAGACTAGACTGTATGGGCATTTTCATTCTAGCTCCCATAGGTTATGTTTCAGTGCATTAACCTTTATAGGAGTAAACTTGAAAAAGAAGTGTCAGATGTGTCAAGATATAGTGCAAGAAATTTTGTATAAGGAGAGGTATTTTATGAATGAAAAAAAAATATACTGTATGTAGATTATCACCCAGGATGGCAATACTGTACGCTTATTCAGTAATTACCTCTCAAGCTGCTGTGTAATGAAGGTCTGCTGTGATTGGACAGATCTCTGAATCTTAACCTTCATCTTTTTTCACAACCGACACCCATGGACTTCATTCCACTGCTTGTGATGTTCCTTCCTCTTGTGTATAGTGTAAAGACTTGATCGCCGTCGTACAGGTGTGTGACTGACTTACTGTACGATGACTTTCTTCCTCTACCTTCAGATGAGTCCATTCTATAAATAATTTATTCTAATTAATAAAAACAATGCATGCCTGTGAACAATAAGTGATGTAATGTTTCACTTAACTTGTAAAACTGTAGAGTAATTGCTCAAATTTGCTAAAGCAAACTAAAGTTGTGATTTTTTGCTTAAATTACGGGACTTATAGTTCCTACAAAGCGCCTGACAGCCTCCTTGTTATGATGCAGTCTCTAGTTGTACAGTACAGTAATAGCAGATACAATAATATACAACAATGTGAATATATACTTATGCCCAATGTCTAGTACAGTACATTCAACTACTAAGTCCATTCACCTCTCTCCCTGAACTATGAACAACCCCAAGATTCAGACTTGAACCCGAAGCAGTACAGTAGATTGATATATTATTCTGTCCAAAAGTCCTTTGGATTCATGAGTCTGAATCTTGGGGTTCATGATTCTAGAAGAGAAGCAAACAGACTTTATGTTGTGTACACGACTAAGGATGAGTTTGATAGAGCTAAGGAAGACTTAAGAGTATAAATAAGACAGATAAATATTATGTCTTGAGAGAGTTTGATACAGTTTAACGTGACTGAAATTTAAGTCTGCGTATACCGTACTTTAGCTAAGATCCGATGATGTTATCCATTCATAGACTTAATACTACTAGTTTATCTTCTGCTGATCAACACAGGCAGAGAAACACAGGGATTTGATGGAGATTTCACGAGTCAAAGAAAGGTGCAGCAATTAGCTGTTTACTTTCTTAGAAATATACTTACAATAAAGGACAGAAACATTGGATTAAAACATTGATGCATTTTTTGATGCCCACTGGTGACCTCTTCAGCTGGGTAGCAGAGTGAAGCATCGTCTTCCTCCTCCCAACTGTAATGGGCATAATGTAATGTTTTAATTCTTTGTCCTTTTATTGTGGGTCTAATTTCTAAGCTGACATACACTTTATTATTAAACTTTCTAATCATTATTTCTATATGTGACCAGAATTATTTTTCATGTCTGATTTGTCATAGAAGTTACTTGCATGCGCTGGTTAGGTTAAGTATTATAAGAAACTTGTAATCACTTTAATTGCTGTCAGTGATCAAGGACTTTGAGTTTCTATAAAAAAAATAGTTTTACTTTTTGCAATGTGATAAAAGGGTTGTTATGATTATTGGTTACAAGCGAACATATTCCTTTCAACATTAAATATATTTTTTCTAAATTTGCTGCCTTATAGTATTGAATTATAGTGTTAAACTTGACATAGTGGCAAGAATGATGTGTATAATAATTGCACTAAAGCTTGAAATTTTGCTGAGTTGGCCAAATACAATCAATTATACCGTATAATTTGTTCTATGTGTGTGAGTCATGTGATCATTGAGCCTGGAGTGTACAGGTGTTCTTAAGAAATGGGAAAAATGTGTTTACAGTACTACTTTTTTCTTTATATTTCTCTAACTATTACCTGATACTAATTGTCAATGTCGTCGTCGTCTATATAATTACATGATGCTCCCTCCTTTAACATAGCCACATCATTAACATAAGCAGAGTTTGTCAAATGATTATTTTAGCCAGTCAAGTGCCTCTTATTTATAATACATTCGATACAGGTAACTTAATATAGTCAGGTTTATGGGGAAGACTATTGAGTGATATCAAAACATTTTAAGATGCTGTGTGTTGAAGTGAATTTGGTGGTCAGTTTTTGCCTTGAGTATTATTGTTGGTTTACACACGAAGAAACTAAATTGTTGTTGTAAAATATCATAGGTAATATACTGTGAAATTTGGTCATTGATCTCAAAATGAAACACTTTAATGTACATATTCTAATGCATTAATGGCAAGGATGTTGTGTGAAGGGGTAACAGTATAGTACTTAGGGACGGTAAATATATACCCTGTAGTACCATAATGCTGCCGATAATCACGTAAATATTAGGTTTCAAGAATATTTACATTTAGAATTGGAGGAAGAACAGGATGGACAGGAATGATTCAAGAAACACACAACGTCAGGTAGAGTTCGATCAGATTTTTGTTCAATGCCGTGTATATTTTTTTATTGCCGTGCTGCCGTCTGTTTTATAAAAGCTTAAAAAAAATCACATTATTAATTATTTTTTGTACAATTTGGTTTTGAGATGAATGTAATTGAATTTTTTTGATGAGTTTTAATTCAGGCAACATGTTATTAATTTCTTTATAAATTGTGAGTAAGTTTGCCATATAGTGACTTGGATTTAATTTTTTTTTCCCTCGTCGATTAATGCAAGTCAGCGAAGAAATAAATTTCCTAAAGAAGGGGGAAAAAATGTGAAGAATGTGTAGCTGTGATAAGGTATATACTGTATGTTTTATTGTAGATGTTAAGGAATTGAAATGGATGATATCTGAATTTTTTAAGTCATTGTAATACTGTACTTCTCTTGCTAGATGTGATGCATTAGTGCAATTTTAATATTTTCCTTATCACTTTTTCTTTTTTCTGTTCACTTGTATTGATTCTTGTCTTAATTTTCAGCACAAAGTCATTCTCTTTGTAGTTTTTTCTCACAGATCAAGTTATGTATACTGTACCTTTTTCTCTCTCTCTACTTAAACAGAAAGTATTTATTTTTCCATGACCAAACTTATGTACTTTCAGATTTTAGTCATAATTGTTCATGTAGTGCTATCACCGTGTACAGTGAGACCTCTATTTAATGGACTACACGGAGAGGAAAGTCCGCTATATCGAGGGTTCGTTGGGTGCGAAAGCTCCATCTAACGAACTACTTAGAGATGAAAGTCCTTTATAATGAGGGTCCGATAGACATGAACCCCCCCATCTAGTGGATTATATGAAGAGAGATGTCCGTTATATGGAGGTTTCACTGTGATTTATTAAAGTGTAACACGTCGTATGTATTTACAGTGTTTCCTCTTGGCATAATAGGTGGTTAAGAAATTTTTTTTTCAGTTAGACTGTATCCCGAGGTCATGAAGTAGGTAACAGTTCAGTAGTTTGTTTTGATATTTAGATATTCCATTGGCAATAATTTAAATTATGTCTCATGACTCTTGTGCTTACATGTCTAATATGTCTATCAGTAATATGTGTATGACTTTGCCTGCCCTGCATTCATTGTGAGAACTGTACTGTAGTGACTCCATCCCTTAGTTAGTGTTAAGCTCTCATCATCATCCTTCTTCACTGTCTAGATATAGGAAGTGGTACTTGTTAATCCCAAACTGAACAGTTATCATAATTACACTGACCAAATTTATTTATTGGTAAATATTCTTTTAAATCTCCTTTACCACCAGCAACCAGCTTTCATAGGCTCATGTCTTGAGCTTCAGGGATCTTAATATTGCTGTTTTGTTAGAAGGATAACCAGGTATATTGCCACCTTGTGGGATCCTTTCTCTGTCTTGTGAACTTTTGGAGGTGTTTGGACACATTTTCTTTTGATGAATGAAGAAATCTTGGAAGTGCTTGATACTGTACTCCTGATGCTCTCGCGTTTTCCCGGGAGTCTCGTCCCCGTCTGAGTTTCAGTACTGAAAAAGCTTTGTACATGGCTGTTGTAACTAAAAATATCCTTGTGTACCACTGTGGGTGACACACTCAGTGATTAGCATTTAAGGGAGAAAATCCCAGTTCCAGCCTGTTGCCTCAGTCAGTACCCACAAGTTGTCCCAGTTGGTGACTGTTGGCTGTCCTGCACACTGTTTTTGCCACATCTTAAAGTGAACCTCATAAATGCTTGTATGATTTGGCCATTGCAGTTTGCTGTGCAAATGAAGGAAACAAAAATAAAAAAAATTGAAGTTGACTTACCCAAAGAGAAATGGCTGTCAGTGGGTTGTGTAGAAGTGAACTTTTTGAAAAGTAAATTTTGTATAAAAAATTGTGTTCCTATCATTCATACCAATGAAGCCATGATAACTATCTCTGGCAGCAGGCAGGATACCCTTAGTGCCTGAGGATACAAGTGTGATTGTTAATGCTTCTTAACATTCACAGCTCTGCAGAAATATCACTAAGATAGCTTGAAATATGTATTGGCAGTAATTGCTAATAAGTACTGTACTGTCATGTGCCAATAATTCAAGTCTTTCTCTCTAAGACTCAATTTTGTCTACTGCGACATTTCATTTTTATTTTTTTAAAAACATACATGTAGTACCTTTTTATAATATGCTTGTAAATAGTTATATATATTAGCAAGTTATTACTCACATAACTATAATGCATTTTATAGTGTCCATAATTATTATTTTTATTATTTTTGTTTTTTACCATATTGCTGTGGAGCTGTGAATATTCAGCTTTACAGAACTATCCTGGCCGCCTCATGAGCGCCTCTGGCAGAGTGAAGGTTGTGTCAACTGTTGTGTAATAAATAGTAAGATTTGTTCAGGGAGACAGACGACTGATCCCTTGTTAGTCAGAGAGCCAGGTACTGTACTACCCCCCCCCTCCACCACCAGTTTTACTCTCCCCCCCACTCTCCACCCCCAGATCTACAGATCTACTTCTCCCCTCTCCACCCCGAGATCTACTTCTCCCCTCTCCACCCCCAGATCTACTTCTCCCTCCACCCCAGATCTACTTCTCCCTCCACCCCAGATCTACTTCTCCCTCTCCACCCCCAGATTCTTTCTCCCCTCTCCAGATCCTCTCTCCACCCCCAGATCTACTCCCTCCACCCCCAGATCTACCCCCTCCCCTTCCACCCCCAGATGTTTGTAATAAAAGTGTGTTAGTACAGTACAGATATTTTGATTAGTACTTAAAAAACTACAGCAGATGACTGTAGATGATAACTTTCAGTGATAATATTATATATACAAATAACTTAATCTAATGGTTATTAAATATTGAGAAGAGTTGCTGTGTACAAGCTGTTGTGGTCGTGAGTTATGAAAAGATTATATATTTTGTACTCTTTATTTTTATTTGTACAATAATGCCATAAAAGGTTCATGTTATACTGGAACCCTTGGGAGAAACACTAGAATTTATTGCACTTAGAGAGAGAGAGATAAAGAAAGAGAAATGTGAATTAAAATCTTAGTGTGTCATGCTTGGCTATGTGTTTTATACAAGTAGTGTTCTTGTGTTACTCAGGTTGTGTTGTGTCCAGCTTCAAGTAACTTGTTGTGTGTTCATGGTGAGGTCAGGATGGTTCTCTAGGAAAGTCAATTTTTTTATTTTTTATTCCAATTCACATTATCTTGATACTTATACTATACTGAAGGTACCATGTACAACCCAGTCACTCTGTATTAGATTGTTCCTTATCAACGAATATAACCAACCGTAATGTTAATAAAAGACATGAATTGACCTCCTCCTCCAGTTCTTCCTCCCTCCCGCCCGCCCACGAGTGTCTTAGATAAAGCCGGTTCAATTGACAAGGATTCTACGCAAGACCCGACTTCGTGGTAAATTGACGTCACCCCATTTAGGTTTACCCAATAGGATCATCAGTAATATTATCTTGAGTACTGTATAGTTAGTTTGGATAGAAGGCCTCTTGCTACCATGAAGTAGAATTTTGTTTTGGAAGCTATGAGTGATGTTTTTCAAGTGAGGAAATGAAGTAAAATGGGAAAGACACACTAGGAGTTGTTTAAGAATAATATGTTTTTTAAGTTTTGAGTGTGAGCATTTGTTTTGATGTTTTAGGGTTAGTTTGAGCATTTATTAGGAGGGGGAAGTACAGTAGTGACCAACATGAGTAAAGTACGTAGCATTAAGTGTGAACAGTATGAGGAAGGAGAGAAGTACTTGGAGGCTTCTGTAAATCCAGATATATGTGTAGTATTTAGAATGAAAATGGTGATCAGTATATAGGGATGACTTCTGGTGTATAGAGATAATGTATGTAAAAGTATTCAATGTTTGTGAGGAAGATGAGAAGACCTTGTGAAGATACAGTGTAGTAATGGTTTGAGACAAGGATGAGAGTGACTATGATGCAGTGTAATGGTTGTGTGTAAAAAGAGTAAAAATTGTGATATGGATGTAATGTTACAGGAGTATATTGATGGATGAAAGTAAGGCATATGGATGGATGAGCATTCAACAAAGATGCAGTGCCAAGTGTGGAGGTGTTGCAGAAGACATCCTGATGAGTAATAGGGCTTCTGTATGCATATAAGAATTATTTCAGATTATGGTTACACACTTCTCTTCAGAATGCTTAAGTCAATTATGATACTGGATTAACTTCAATAATCTGGCCCACAAGTATGTGTGTGTGTGTAGCTTCATTCACTTGACGATAAGTGTATCCAGTTTGGTCTTGTTAACCTTAGCTTGTTGCTCTATATCCCCAGGGTACTCCTTACCCCCAGTTCATACCCAGAGACTGGAGTGGAAGGGTGTCAGCTGGTCGAGAGCAAACTATACTTTGAAGGTCTAGCCTGAGACTTATGATACTGGGGTGTATATATCACTGATAATATATTTTGATACAATGAAGGCGTATTCATCACCTCCACGAGAATATAATGTAACAGATAAAGGTCCTTAACCTCTTGTGTACATGTATGGATCCTCCTCTGTGCTGAATAAAATCATCTGGTGTTAGACAAGTAAAATATTGAAAGTGGCATCCCTGTAGTGAAGGGGTCAAGGAGTAATTCAACACAAGTAAAAATATCTACCTCTTGTCCATCCAGGGGCACAGATACTAGCATCACTGTTTAAACCATTGGATTTGTAGCCATGTAAACCTCCAAAACGTCCATGTGTGTGCCCTGACATTCCTAAAACCCAATCAATTTACCATCAGTTGTCTTGTGTTGTAAGTCTCCCCCAACCTGCAGATGACTCCAGTGTCCCTTGCTCTATCTCCTTTGGTAATATCTACAGTAAAGGAAGCACACTAATATTGTTCCCATAAATCTGAACAGTACATATGTGCAGTTGATTACCAGGTGTACAGTATATGATGGATTATTCAATTCTCTCTCTCTCTCTCTCTCTCTCTCTCTCTCTCTCTCTCTCTCTCTCTCTCTCTCTCTCTCTCCATTATTAAGACGACAAATTGTTCGCGATAGGAATAAAATCTTTCAATTTAATTCGTTTGTCACCTTTGAATACAATTAAAGAGTTTCTTCCTAATTTAAATATATTAGTAGGGGGCGCCTCTTGTATCTTTACTTAACACACACACTGTGTATATTTATTGGTGTGTGTGTGTGTGTTTGCACGCTACATTGGCTATGCAGATTAACTCTAATCACTAAGGGATCAAGTTTCAGGATGGTAGAAGAACCAATTAGAATAGTTTACCTTAACAAAAAGAGATCTCATTGGCTACACAACTCTTAAAACCTAAGTGGGCCTCATACTCCAGCAATACACCAAGATTAAATAAACTTAAGATTATATTAAACTTTTCCCAATATTTCTGATAATATTGAGACATTATAATATTTCATACATTATATACTTATACATAAACATTTAATACATATATGAAATTAGTTTTATATTGACCTGAGTTGACTGAACACTTAAGGGAGTAATTACCCAGTATTAACATGACCCCAATTAGCCACCTGCCCCCCCCCCCAGTCACTTTTAATACAGCCCCCCAATATTAATTAGCCATAACAGGTGACATTAGCACCCCCCTGTGTCCCCCAGGCTAAGTTGATTATATGGTGTTGAGGCCTCGTGGGATCTGTCTGTCTGTCTCTTTCTATATTATCTGGTTATTTGTGTCATCCTGCTCTCTCTCTCTCTACAACTTTATCTGGTTGTGTTAACCTGTTCTCTCTCTTTCTGTCTGTCTGCCTTCTGTCTCTCCCTCTTTATCTAGTTATTTGTGTGACCCAGTTCTCTCTCTCTTGTCTGTCTCACTCACTCTCTACTCCTCTCTCATCACACCAAAAATCTCTCACTTACCCCTCCCACCCCCCCTCTCTCTCTCTCTCTCTCTAAGAGAATTAATACATTAACTTTATTAGTATGTGTTTGTGTGTGTGACTATGTATGTAACTGTGTGCGTCTGTATGTATGTATGTATGTATGCATGTGTATGTGTACTTTTAAACACTTAACTTCCCCAATCCTCTCAGCTTTCACAAACACACATCCTAAATGCTATATTTACCCTCCACAAACCAAACAACACCTCTTTTTAAATAATATCCTTGTTTAAGTAAGGCAAAAGTCTAAAAAAAAATAATACTACAAACAATAAATAATTTCAGCCAAACAAAATATGAAGGCTATACACTGTATGTTCCTCTTAATACTCGT